AGTGTATACTGAGCATGTACAACAGCATATTTTTTTAGATACATGTGCACGCAGCCCTGGTGATGCATGTCTATTTCAAATGCACTTCTAGTTAAAAACACAGTTAGTTAGGTTTCCCATTTTGGACTTGAAATAATAACAGCTTCTCTGGAGAAACTTGTAAGATATACATGCTAAAAAGTGTGAAGAACCTGAAAATATCTATGACATCGATATTATTTTGGCCATTGCCTTCAGTGGGAATAGCTTGGATGCTGAATGCACAGTCAGGCTTAATGAAATCTTCAGGTTGCAGGATCTCACACCCTTGAGTCTGGAACTTCCATAAGTTAAGGTCAGTGTGGGTACTTTCATTATGCTATACTATTTGAAGTCAGTCCTTTTTAGCTTTTGTATTATAGTTTGCTATTTATGTAAACCAGAACTGAGGTATTGAAATATACAGTTGAGCTATTATAACAGAGCAAACTTCACTTTTGGAATCTTCAGCTATTGAGTGCTTGAGTTCAGAAATGTGTTTTGTTACAAGTGGGATTGATTACATTTTTGCATATTGCATGCTAACATTTGATATTTTATGTGCTGTTTACCATTTTCCCCTTCAATTCTTGATTTTCATTAAGAATAGCAAACCTTTCACCTGAATCCAGTGTGTCAGTATTGATGCTCTGTGGTTTACCAGATTGACACACAAATGGCACACACATAGTTTACAAACAAATGGCACATTTCTCAGTCCAAGTACAGAAAATGGCATCTGTAGCTTTACCACAGTCCATTTCATTGTCACTAAGAAAGATTTCCAGCAATTAGATCTGTATATAACACTTCTGACAGGAAGCGTCTTAAATTACATATTTGCTTTCTCGAGAATTACACCCAAATAGATTTCATTTTTCCTGACATTACAGCCAACCTATAATAGCATGAACTTTATTAACAAATTCAAATTTAAAAACAAATTCAGTTCATGAAAGCTGTCCAAGTTTGTTCTTGCCCATTTCTTACATAAAAGATTATCTACAAAGACACATATGCTCAACAATAGATTTCTCATTGTATATATGTGTGTTGGTGTACCCACATATGTTGATCCAATTTGTACTAAAACAGATTAGTGAGAAAATAAGATAGAAGAGTTTCTAAAGAAGCTTTTGAATTAATGGTTGTGGGAATCAGTGCAACAGATTGAACTTGCAGTTTCGGATTTTCTCTTAGCTGTAATATCAAAACTAAGTCTTACAGACTTGCTCATACCATATTTAAAAAAAGAATCAAACTCCATTATGCACAGTCATTTACTATTCACTTATGCATTTAGTATTTGCTTAGTTGTTGCTACTCCACAGTAGCACCTGAAAAAATATGTGTGGGGATGCTACAGTGCAGTAACATTACATAAGCAAGTACTGCATGACTGCACAGTATCATCCCCACACTTTTTTTTCAGATGCTATTGCTCAGTAGCAATGAGCTACTGTACAGTAGCATCACATCACAGTTAGTACCCACCAATGCTACTGTGCAGTAGCAACGAGCTAAGCAAGCAGCTCATTGCTACTGTGCAGTAGCATCTCATGTAGACATACTCTTTGTGTGTATAATACATAAAAAGGGACTTCATTCCCATTTTAAACGTAAACCATAATGAAACAAACCATAACTTCTGTAATACGTAAACTTATTGTCTACCATGATATCTGCACTTGTGGCATTATGTTTGCATTTATCAGTAGGTTAATTATTTCACTGGCAATTTCTCAGATTTTAGTTGCAATCGTCTAAATATATAATCATTATTATTTATGAGTTTCAAACTTTACAAGCAGATAAACGTGTATTTCGGTGCATACTTTCATTCGATATTGTTATTCTTATACCACTCAGAAGCATTTTAAGAAGAGACTTAAATTAATTTTTTTATTTCCTATTATTCAAGTCAAATGGGAATATATTAAGGGAAACACTCATTTTTATCTTTGAAAATACACTTTAATAAAATACTACTACTGTATATTAAACTAACTGATTTTAAAAAAAGGAACTATAGTGTCTGTTACATTTTGAGATTCCATCACAAAGTCAATCAGAAAAAGTTCTGAAGAAATTGAATGGGCAAGCCACTTCAAAATTCTTTAATATTTATCTAATACATTAATTAAAAATAAAAGATTTACATAACTGATGTTATTTTCTTGTCCTTTTAGTCTTTTCATAAGAACTCTAGTTGACTCCACTGGGAGTTTTACATGGAGATAGCTTGTACTATTGTCAAATCGCAAATTGAAAACTGTACCAGATCCCTAATTAAAGAATAGATTTCTAACCCTAACACAACTGCACAGGTAAGACAAGCTCTTACAAACCTCAAACAGCCTTTTCTGGGCAAACACAGGAATCACAGAAATGTAGATTTTGCAGAAATATGAAGTCCACACCCTTGTTCTGAGATATGATTGAGCATTGTTGACAAATGTTTGTCAAACCCAGTAGTTTTCAACCTTTTATAGACTCAATGCACATCTTGGAAAATGCCAACTCATAGCATTTACTGTTTTGTTCTTTTTTACTCTAGAAAAATAAGGAAAGGAGCTGTTCTGTTGCAAAAAGCTCAAGAAGACCACAACAGGTCAGAATGTTTTTGACACTATGAATTCCTATTTGAAATCTCTGAGATTATCTTGGGAATCATGGGTAGCTGTTTGCACACCTAACAGTGCAAATGGCATCCAGCATTACCCTTAAAAGGATCTCATGGTTGAGAATAAGTGGTCTAACCTGTTCTTGGAATCCTACAGTGAAGGGGATTCTATATTTCCTAATTATCTTGTTCCACAGTTTAACTCTTCTGACAGTCTGAATGTTTTCATAGTATCAAACTTAAAACCTTCTCCTGTAAATTATGCCAATGATTTTTTGTCCGGTAAGTTGATCCAACTCTTGATGCTCAGCTGAGTGCAAAAACATGTTCAAAGTTCCTGTGGAAGGAACACAATGGGGACAGAGGAAGGAAAGAAATAATGTTTGATTTTAAAGGTATTAAGTTCCTCGAAATGCAGATAAGTACTTAACAAGAATTTCAAGTGGATGAATGCTGAACTTGCATTGATTTCAGCGGTAGCTTACTGGTACAAAGTCAGCATGTCTACACATTCATTATTGTGCACTGCTTACTGTTCATTTAATTTAGTATTTGTATAATCAAATACTCAATAAATGCACAGTAACCAGAGTTACTGAGCAGTAGCATCAGCGAGTGCCTTCTCCATGATGCTATTGCACAGTAGCCTAATAATACTGTGCAGTAGCATATTAGCGCTGTCCATGCTGTGATGCACTACTGCACATTATTTATTAGGCTACTGAACAGTTAGCATCTCAGGTAGATGCTCCCAGTAATGAATATGCTTCTTCTAAAGTAGAACATGGGAACATAAGAGAATTACACATCTTAGTGGCAAAAGGGCTTTATGCTGCCACTTCTTCTGGACTAAGGCTAAGATCCTCAAATGTGTTTTGGCACCCATGGCAATCAATAAGAGTCAGGCCTCATATTTTTGAGATTATGCACCCAAGTGCTATAAACACATACTAGCCCTAACCATTGTTTGTGTGTATGTGTGGAGTACTTAAAAGAATGGATGTATGGAAGAATGTGCACCATATACAGAATCCATGAAAAAAATGCCTGTATGGAGATGAATTAAATTGTTAAGATATGATTTTTGTAGATGTATGCAAATTGTGAAAGGAGTTTCAGTAAATGAAAACACTTTAATTATCTATAAAATAAAGAAAAAAATGTGATTTTTTTTCTTCTCAGCATGGAAAACAAACCTAATTTACAATATATACCAGTTCCAGGAAGGGCAATTACTTTCTTGTATTAATAGCAGCAATAACAAATTGACAGACTTATTTAAATGAAATATACTTCACACATTTCATTACTAAAATAGCCCGTTCTTCATAGAACTAACAAGGCAAGTAGGTGACTATAAGTCCCATTACCTAAAGCTAAAGAAACATTTCACTGTTGGTGTTTGTTCAATAGTTATTTCTGTGCTTTTTGTGATTCATATATATATGTATCTATATCATAGATCTAGATCTATCTATATCATAGATCTAGATCTATCTATATAGATATATATCTATACAGATATACACACACACACACACACACACACACATTTTAAAAAGAACCCCAAGATGTTTCTGAAGTCATACAAATAATCTAGAAATGTGTTAAAAGTGTTTAACAAGTATATTTTGTTAGAGTAATGAAGTAAATTAACAACTTCAGGGCTGAATCCAGGTAGTGTTCTGTACACAGAACTTCCACTGTAAGTAGTGGGGGTTTGTTTGGTTTGATACTGAGGTGGATTACATACAGATGATTTACAGCTTTCTATCTAAAAGCAACTGCCATTTTTAAAAAGCCCCTATTCCTTATATATTTACAGGCCAAATTCTGTCATCCTTAACTCCTGCTACAACAGGTAGTCACATTGGTGCAGTTACCAGAATCTGTTTCCAAGGTCTTGGACCAAAATCCTTTGAAATTAAAGCAAGGTTTCCATTTCCTTTGATGGATACTGAATCAGGCCCTAAGGGCACCTATATATGAGCAGCAAGGCTACTCTGATATGCTGTAATTACAGTTCATTGGAGCAGACTCGATTAATCAAGTCTACTAGACTGTAGTAATTACCATGCTCCAGAAGCCTCCAGTGTCTTGTGTATCACCATCCTTACATTTAAAAATGCCAGTGGGCATGCTTTATCTAAAGTTCATTAAGCTTTAGATAAAAGCACCCCCACTGCCATTTTTAGGCATGGGGATGCTGATACACAAGATGCTCCGGGCACTTTAAATTAAAGCGGCTCTCGGAGCCACTCTAATTAAAATGTGCCCCCCCACCCAAGCACATGTATAAATGCCCTAAGTATTTCTCCAAACTCCAATATCAGCTAATAACACAGACAGTGCTCTATCATTATTTTTCAGTGTTTGAGAGGCAACAATTAGGAAACATCAGAAAGAACACAGTACAGCAGTGTATGTAAAAAACAGAAAAAAAATGTCTAGATTTTACATTTTCTGAACATGAAGGTAAACTTAAACTTTACTTTTCAAGGCTTGTTTTTTGATTTTTTTTTTTATAAAAAAAATGAGACAATATTTCAATTCATAAAATTGTTATAAAATATACAGATAATATGGAAAAGCTCAGTCCTGTTCCCAAAGAAGTCAGTAGCCTATTGGTTATTATTCCTGTAAGAGAAAGGTCAGTCTGAGAATGTGCCATGTTCCTAACTCCAAAACAAGTTTTATATAAAACAACAAAGATGACTAAAAAGTTAAAAGGTTGTTATACTCCAGGCCTTTGTGGTTTGTGTTTTATCAAAAACCATTTCTAGCCATGATGAAAAGATATATATATTTGCTTAGGTTTTCACAAAACTATATCAAAGAAAGATGTGTGTGAATTATGAGTTTGGTAAGATTTCCTTAAAATAGTTATTATCAGTTACATTATATCTTACATTGCAAAATGTACAGACACCCAGTCTTCTTTTTAAAAACATATACAGGTGAGCAAAAGGCCCTTTATGAAAGGTTATGTGATACCAAATTAAAAAACTTTAGAAATATAATCAAAATAATGGAAACTGATATATACTTTTGATAGTACATAATGCTCATACTGGTAAAACTGACAGCTGCATCTTTGGCATTGAAAATTCAGTACAACTTAAGTAAAATGTTGTTGCTTACATCTTAAAAAAACAAAAACAAAGACCAGAAAAACAGGACTGACCAAAATACGAAAATTGGGGAAATACTACTAAAGATTTATTTATTTATTTATTTTAGCAAGGATAGGTTAGGGACCCTGAATTACCTTCTCACTTTTAATGCATGATGTGGACTGCATGAATCCATTTAAAAATCAACTAAATTGTACCACATTGTTCGGAAAATTATATATAATATAATATAATATATATATTTTATATTTATTTAGAAGCTTTGAAATAGTACAGTAAACACTTTGCAACACGGTGTATAAACTACAGAATGTCTTTGATATTTTGTGGGTCTGCAGATTAACAACATTTTTATGACCCACAGGTGAAAAGAACATGATCACAATCTCTCTTGTAAAGTTGGAATATTTTGGGGAACACTTGATCACACAAAAATAATATAAAACAGTCAAGTTTAAAACAGTGATATTGCATTTATAATGCACATTTCTTTTATCTGTACGATTGGCTTCTTGTGGTGAATATAAACATCTAAAGGGCTCAGTGACATTTTGGAGAGAGAAAGATATATAGTGCTGTAAACAGGCACACACTGATCAGAGAGGCAAGAACAGTTGCCTCTGAAGTTTCTACAGTTCCATACATTTCAACTCATTTCTCAGGCCTGCTGAGAGCAATTAGGTCCTGTTGTTGGCCACGATGTCTCCAACAGCACACAAATCCTTCAGTTACTCAGAACTGGATGGCCAAGACAATGAAGTTGAAAAGTTAATGCTTTTTTGTTGGTCGACTTTTGTGCAAATCATGCTGCTTCAGGTAAGTCCTGTAGAATTGACTAGCATATCCTTTTCCGTGCTGTGGGAAAAAAGAAAGAAATTTCTGAGAAAAAAAAAAGTCATTCTCTAGCGCTACTATTTTTTAAAGGATTTCTTAATGGGTAGAGAAATGATACTTGTGACAAGCTGTTGCTTGGATTTCCCATTTTAGTAAAAAGTTTAATGTTGATTTACTGTTCAGAAAAGTCTTTCTGCGGTTGATATTCTGGAAAAAAAAGTCACATTTCACAGGCTGTTTTATTAACTGTCCAGTATCACAGCAAGTATTCCAATATGCCTTTAGAAAACCAGTATATGAATGAGGCAAAGAGTCACACTTGCAGGTTCAATATTACTGGTATTTCCAAGCCTATTTTTTCTAGTTCATCTTGTTATTTGAAGCAAGACCTAGACTCTCCAAAAGAATCAGAAGACAGTTTTCCTTCCCTTTTAAAGTGAACCATTATCCTCATTACCAACTGACCCTTTAGTCTGGTTTGACAGGGAGATGAAAAAACGATGCATTAGCGCTACAATTCAAATCCAAGCATTTACTGTCACGTTGGAAATTGAACTTGTATTACGTAAGTGAAGAAGGTCAATGCATTAGCAAACCTGTATCCTAATACACCAGCTGTGGTAGATATATTACCTCCAGACACTGGCTATTTTAACTGTAATTGGGAGCAAAGGTAACAAATGACTTATACTAGCATCCGGAGAAGACCCTAGCTTGGATTCTGATATCAGTCACATGGATGGAGCTAAGATAAGGAACTAGCTCATTTAACTGAAGTACTTTTTTGAAGTGTTTGATTATAAAATTCAGGCTTTATCCTAAACTCCAAATTGGCAAATTCAGATTTAAAGGAATAAAATGTCAACAGATTTATGGGCATGAATTGTAACAATTAAAATAAAAGGAACTTTTCCAACTCTATGATGATTTTACAGCTATAAATGACTTGTGTTTAGCCCTAATTTTCAGTCTCTTTAAAATAAATACACAAATGAGGTCCCCCTAGAACATGTTCACTAATAAATTAGTAAAGTATAAATCACAGTGAAGACAAATTATCTACATGGAAGGGTATTAGCATAGACATCATATGTTCATCCAATCTAGTCTGGCTAAATTGACAAGTATGGGGTACATGTGACATATATATGCCATGTGTACCCCAAAGTGGGCCATGGGTTTGTACGAGCTCCCATTGAATTTACTCACTGCAGTACTGGGACCTGAGATTGTGAAGATTCTGACCTGTTATCAGAACTGAAGTCAATGGGAAATATTTTGCATTTTTTTAAATTTAATTGTAAAGATATCCTTAATGTCCAATATAATCAAAAGAGATAAGAGGCTAAGGAGATAATCTTACAAAAAATATACATAAACAGTTGTGATAACAGGTCAGAATCTTCACAATCTCAGGTCCCAATAATGCACTGAGTAAATTCCATGGGAGCTCATACAAACCCATGGCCCTCATTTATTAAGTTCTGAACTTCCTTTTAATATTAACAAAAATAAAGGTCCTACAACAATAGCACTTAATGTGTGTGAGTTTGTGTGTGTTTGTGTCACTTTTATTCTATAAAGCTCTGTATAAACATTCAATTCTTATGTTTTTCATAATATCTTGGTAAAGACAGTCATTACAGGGTGCATCTACACATGCAATTAAAGCCCATAAATAAACTCCGGGGCTTCTTGCTCTGGAATTTATTGCTCCTAGGCACCATGTCTGAATGTCAGCCTGGGACCACAGCACATTGAACCAGGGAAGAGAAGCCCTGGCTGGCAGGGAGCCTGGGGGGTAGGCTTGCCAGCCCAGGGCTGCTCCCCCTGGCTCAACATGCTGCAGAGGGGCTGGCTGGAGCACAAGGGTGCTTCAGCATGGGGCTACTTGCAGCCTGCTTACTGAAGCACCCTCATGCCCCAGTCAGACAGGACAGTATTCTACATGTACACTGCTGCAGAGTATTTACAAGTACTATCTTTCTGTGAAAAGTAAATTAATTTACTTCAGCCTAACAGGGATGCGTCTGTAGATGTGCAATGTTTACAGAGCAGCTATTTAGTCTATTGTGCAGTAAACTTCTTGTGTAGACATGCTCACAGTGTCCCAGATTGAGAAAGCTATGGGTAGGACTGCATAAGCCAGAAACCTCTACAGGGTTTCCTGTTGTTCATTTCCTTTAGTTTGGGGTCTTGTAGAATATGTATGGAATGAAGCCTCCCAACCCTGCAGACCAACATGACAAGTTGGGTCAACTGGAATTGGTGACATTCTTTTGATCCTCTAAGATGCACAACAAAATCTATGTGTTTACCTTTAGGGGTATCTTAAACAATTAGAAGGATTTTGGTGTAGATGATTGGGTTGAGTTTTTACCTTTCCCCACGCCTATTAGTAATATGTTTAATTATTATTTTAATTGAGACAAGATAATCAATTAGTTCACTTTTAACTCTGAATAAAGACCTGCAATGTTTGGGCTCAGGAGATTCATATATCCCAGTTCTACCTGTTACGAAAAATTAAAGTTTTCTATTTGAAAAGGATTCTAAGTGATAGAAAATTGCTAGATTTCAAGGGTGAGGGAGCCCTACCCCTTTATCTTATTATTTTCCATAGATATCTGCACAGAAATCCCTGTGCAAAGCAATCTTTATGACCCTGTATTATTATCCTTGTTTTACAGATGAGTAATATGAGTCAGAGAGGTTAAATGGGAAGAAGGATGCTCACTCTTAAAGCAGAGAACAGGAAATCAAGAGATCTGGGGTCTAATTCCTGGCTCTGCTAGAAACTTTCCTTGTGAACGTGAGAAAAATCACTAAGCCTCTCTGTGTCACAATTTCTCCATCTGTAAAATGGGAATAGTATTGCTTACCTATCAAAACAGAGGTGCAGCAAGGCATAAATCACTATTCTCTTTATAATCCACTTTGAGATCCACAGATGGAAAGCACTACAGAAATGGAAAGTACCATAGTCAGTGAAAGAGCTGGCATAAGAACTAAAAAAAATCCTGACTCTCAGTCTTTATCTCAGAACACATTTCTTTTTTTTTTTAAATCATCATTTAACTATTTTGTACACTGTTTTTAACACTGAAACCTAGTATAGAGAAGAACTGTACATAGATCTACTGGGAAAGATTGGGAATGATGGGATGGCAGCTTTTTGCTACAGATATTGTTTTTAGAATTAGTAAAATTTAATAATGTTACTACCATATTAGGACAATGTGTTCAGCTCTTTAATGTGTCTAGGGGGAAAGGAGGATTAAATAATCAGCACAAATAGAAAGCAATTTAAAATTCTGATTTTTTCCTCATTAGCTTGCTTGCTAGTTTAGCTCAAACAGTGTTATGTATATCTAGCATATATTATTAGAGAGGTAGTTTTCTTTCTCCAAAGGTCTTATTCCCAGTAGGAAGGATTTTAAATGAATATAGGGTATTTACAATAGATTTCAATAATAAATTGGAAGCAGAGTACAGAAGGCATGTTAGGATTTATTCTTCCCTTGATATACATGTATAACCCTCCCATTAATGCTGCTGAGTTAGTTATAGGTAGGCACTGAGAGGAGAAGACACACAAAAGGGTAGCCGTGGATGAACAGAAGGAGAATAAATAAAGAGAAATAAAACTGAGATTAAAAATAGGAAAAAAAAAAAATTAAACATACAATATTTATACTTAATGCTTTTTATGACAGATATGTCAGGAAAATACAAACATATTTACCACAGTATCTTCTCTTCTATTCCTTTACCTTTTTGTATGTTATCATATACCCTGTTATATCCAAACTTAGGGCAAAACTATGGCTACATTAAGTGATCAAGAGATGGGAATGGCAACAAAACTTTTTTTTTTTTTAATCTTTGCAATCCCAAATGGGGACTGACCACACATCAAGTCTTTACACTTCTTTGAACAAGAGAGTATTCCTGTTGGGCCTTGCTAACTACCCCAAGCAACAAAGCGTGGAGTTGTGCTGATCCCCTTCACTTGCAAAAGGGAGTGCATGCTTTTATGAATATGGTTTCAGTCAAGCACATCCTATGGACCTGGAAGCTATAGCATAATGCCTGCTACTGCAGCATAACTCCATTTTAACAATGACATTGGAGGTACCTTAAAGATCTAACAGAGCAGTTAGACTATAAACTTTTCAGGGAAACAGCTATCTGAAATGCCATGCACACTAATTCAGCTGTAATACTGCTACTGTACTATGAAGAGGAGGAAGAGAAATATTTTTTCCCCCTTAAATCAGAAACAGCCATAGAAACAAAGGAATGAAAGCAGCACTATGCTTCCTATCTCCCTAATGTACAATTTACTGTGTCAGGACCAAATTCACTCCCACTTGGCACATCTACACAAGATGTTTACTGTGCAATAGACTAATTAGCTGCACAGTAAATGTCTCAGCATCTACAAATACACCCCTATTAGGTTGGAATAAACTAATTTATTCTGCAGCAGGATAAAATTTGTAAACACAAGTACTATTCTGCTGCAGAGGAGAAAAAAAAAACACTGCAGCACTGCATATGTAGATGTGACCCAGCCAGCCCCTTCAGAGCACACTGAGCTGGGGGGAGCAGCCCCAGGCTGGCAGGCTGACCCCCCACGTCCCCTGCCAGCTGGGGCTGCTCTGTCCTGGCTCAATGAGCAGACATGCACCTGTGAGCAATAAATTTCAGAGCAATAAGCACTGGAGTTGATTGGTGCGCATTGATAGGCATGTGTAGATGTGCCCACTGTAAAGTTTAGTACAAAAGGCTTTCACGCTGTTTACCCCACAACATACTAAATATGAGATCAGCAGAACCACATACACAGGGCACCATCCAATGTCCTAAGATTCTTGTCTCCAGACATGCCTACGTGAGTCACGCAGGCACAGAGGTGGTGGGTTGAGTATAGTTCAAGTACGGAGGTAGGTTTTTTGACCTTATCGCCCCCATGCCCTAAGCAGATAGTGCAGAGAATATATTCCAGTTCATGAAGC